GTGGGTTGCATGCACCTGTGTTATAATTAACTATTACCAAAAAAAATTTTTGAAGAGGGTAAAAAGCAAAAATAAAAGTATATGCCATGTCCAAGAAACATGGCACAGGATTTCATGCAAACTCACACACAATAGCCCAAATACTGCTCTTGTTGCACATTTGTCTTCCTTTTTTCCTTGTGGTACTAAGAAGTGAATTTTGAGCCTTTGTGCTGAGCTACATTCCTAATGTCCCTTTTTATTTTTATTTTAACAGGGATTATAGGCATATGCTTGGCTGTCTTCCTTTTGCAAATTAAACAAAAAGTGATTTATTGAAAGCTGCTGTGTAACTGGTCTTTTTTTTTTTTTTTTTTTTGGCGGAACCGGGGATTGAACTCAGACCCTTGTGCCTGCTAGGGAAGCGCTTATTCCACTGAGCCATCTCCCCAGCCCCAAACTGGTCATTTTTAATAGATTAAAGTCAATTTAAATATCCACTTGATGTCTATCTTACTGTTGAAAAACAAATTCCTTTAGTACAAAATAATGTATACAACTCAAAACCTAAATTTTAAAAAGCTAAACTCAGACATAGTGAACATATTTTCCAGACAAATTCATCAAGGAAATCTATATTGTATTTAGTAAGATTTCAATGGGCCACGTGATGATTAAGCCAGAAAGATGAAGCTTCCCCAGGTGGAAGTAGCGTTTCAAGATTGAAAAGGGAAGGAAGGAAGCTGATAAGGATAGTGGCCCTTGATCAGAAACCCCAGGCCCTAGCTTTGGGTCTGTCACCAATTTGACAACCGTCAGGCAAGTCCCCTTCACTCTGTGGACTTCTACCTTTCCATTTATTTAAAGAAGTGGCTCAGCTCCAGCAGCAAGTAAAAAATCTGAGGGCCCTCAAGAACCCACATGTAGGGCTGGGGAGATAGCCCAGCAGCATAAGCACCTGCCTGGCAAGCACAAGGTCCCAAGTTCGATCCCTGGTACTGCATGCTGTGCCGGCCCCAGAGCCCTGGGCATGCCACTCCTGCAAACCCAACACCCAAGAAGGCTGAGACAGGATGATCACAGGTTATAGGCAAGCCTGGACAACTTGGAAAAACCATGTCCCACAATAAAAAATAAAAGAAGGGCTACTGATAAAGCCCTGGGTTCAATCTTCAATACTGGAAACACATACATACACACACACACACACACACACACACACACACACTGACCTGTTTGTGGCATTCGTCCAGCAGGCAGTGGATGATCTGCTCCAGCTTCAGCTGCATGGTAAGCTGGACAAGGACTGAGCAGACGTACTAGTGTTACTGGCCAGAAGACACTCCCTGACCCATAGTCACCACTCACAGCCCTTCTGCTCAAAGGCAGGGCAGAACACTGAGGTAACTGATTTCTTTTCTTTTTCTCATAACCTATGTGCATGAATCCAAACAAAAGGATTTCTGGCTTCCTCACTGTTTTATATTAGTGGTTCTCAACTCATTCTTTTGTGTATGTACACGAAAGAATCATGTAGGAAGCTTTAATCAAATATTAATGCCCAAGTTCCACCCCAGAACAATTCAATCAGAATCTTTGTTTTAGTATATGAAAAAATAGAAATGTACACTTAAATATGCTTTATGCTAACATACATATTTCTCACTTATATTCTGTTTTTATATTCAAAATATTCTTCTAAATATTCTATAAAATTTAAGCACAATTCTAAAGTTCTGAAGTCTATTGTGAAGCAAAGTTGAAAACTCTGTATTATCTTCTCTCCCTTGAGTTTGCTCCTTTATATAGTAGAAAAAATGAGTACATTCCTTTGCCAAGTATTAGGATATTATCTCTCAGCCCCAAATCTATTCTCCTACAGAAGCAGGTGTGGTATTTCTGCTACTTTCTTTGAAAAGTTGAAAGGATATTGGCTCTGCAAGGTTGGAAAAGTCACAAACTAGACTCAGCAGCTCCTGTCAGAAGGTCTGCTACAGCCAGGGTAAAGAAGAATTCCGAGACAAGACCCTCACAGACGGGAAGCAGACACCAGGCCAACAGGAACCTTGAGGAAGCAGTGAATCCTTTTCCCACCCCTGCCATCTCCCTCTAGTGCCTGCCACTCAGTGAAGTGCTTCGGGTCTGAGGACGGGTCAAACTATGCTGGCGTCAAGCAGAAGTGGATGGCTGCAGGATTACAGCTGCATACAGGAGTAGGCCTGAAGAAAAATGATGAAGCAAAATCTTCCAGTAGTCAGAACTTCAAGTGGTATAGTATGTTTGTCTTTTGTCTTTTTGGCAGAACCGGGGATTGAACTCAGACCCTTGTGCTTACCAGGGAAGTGCTTATTCTACTGAGCCACCCCCCCTGCTCGGAGCCATCTTCCCGACCCAGTATGTTTGTTCACGTGTTTGCCTGAACTAAGAGATGGTCAGAAGTGTGTACCAATCACACTGACCTATGGGTAGCCATTAACTGGCTGGCTGGTCATGAACATGAGAAAGACCAAACTAGAAGATCTGTGACAATGAAGTCTAGGAAAAAAAAAAAAAATGGCCTCTCTGAATAGGTCCAAAATATAACAATATCTGTTCCCATGTGAATGCGTTTAAGGAGCATCAATTGTAGAGGAGTTCTGAACAAAGTGGACTAAATGACATATTATAGATATTGATCTTCAGCTTTGCCAGCCACGCAGGTTCGTCCAATAGATCCATGTACAAAGTGGCTGAGGTGGCAGAGTTGGAGGCAAGCATGAGCTCAACAACACAGATCTCCCCTCACCCAGGCTGAACCGAGTACTGCTACTGCCTAACCTGCCCAATAGCAGAAACCTACACTGAGCCGCAGTATAACACCATTCCCTGAGAGGACAAGCCACTTATATGGTTTCAGATGAGCTACACAGTACCCCTACCATTACAGAGGGACAGATTTGTTTGTCCCTCTATAACACTGTCTTTTCCTCACTAGAAAAGACACATGTATTTGTGGACATGGGTTTCCTTCTCAAGCCCTAGCACTGAATCAATAAGGCAAAGAAGAGATCATTCTACTACCTAGCGTGACTGATCTCACATTCACAGGGAAACTGTTGCTACTAAAGAGGAGAGATAGAACTACATCTGCAACCAGGGAAGATCTAAACTGCCTGTTATTGCTTTCATATTCAATAGCAAAAGTTAATGGAAACTTTAGCAAGCACAAAAAGGTAGAGTTACTAAAGATGCAGAACTTTCCAGAATAAAGTTTTGTGCTGCCCAGCAAAGTAAAAACTCTGACCAGTTAAGATACTGATCAAGGGGGCCGGGAGATGGTTCAGTGGAATAAGCGCTTCCCTGGCAAGCACAAGGGCCTGAGTTCAATTCCTGGTTCTACAAAAAAAAAAAAAAAAGAAAGAAAGAAAGAAAGAAAAAGATACTGATCAAGGGCAAAGGACAGATAGAATGGTATTATCCATTAAGAAGGAAATTAAAAATGATTCGGTACACCTGCAGTCCCAACGCTTAGGAAACACGGCCAAATAGCTCAGTGGATTAAAGCGCCTGCAAGCAGGTACAGGGGCCAGAGGTTTGATTCCAGGGTCTACCAAGCCAGCCCCACCCCCGGGGTGCACTGAGAAGGCAACTGGGACTGGGGTAGTGGTGTGCATCTGTAAT